GATGCTACTAGTTCCGAGATTCTTTCAATATAAGGTATCGCTATGAATTTTTTATTATTGTCATTATTTATGATTTCGTTATTTATATCTTGAGTCATTTCTTTGTTTAATCTATTAACAATAAGGAACTTCAGTCTATTATTGATTTCTGAGAAAATGAGATCAAGAGGATAACTATTGCTCAATAAAATCTCTATGATTAATGTTAAATTTTTACTATGAAAACGGGGATGTGATAATAATATTGACCGGTCTACTAAATTATATATTACACTTTTTTTGTGGCATATAGGATGATTTGAATGATATGAGAGTGTTCTACCCGAAAATGTTTTTTTCTGAAACCAATCTATGTATATTATGTTATTTATAATTTTGAGTGAGATATCTAAAAAACTTATGCTACGGTTATCCTCTCTTTCTATTGTGAATTTTAATCTATCGTGACAATCATTAAATTTTTCTACTAGATATGTGACTTGATCTTCCGGCAAGCAAAGCAAGATATCATCGACGTAGCGATAGTAAAACCTTATATTAACCTTTATAGTTTCAAGAATCCTAGTTTCTATATCTTGCATAACAATATCCGCAATAATTGGAGATAAAGGCGATCCCATAGGAGTTCCATGTATTTGTTTATAGATCGTTTCGTTGAATGTGAAGTACGTTGAAGTCAAAATGAATTTAATTACATTAACAAACTCATTTTTGTCTATTGATGTGTGGTTTTCAATGTAATGCCATCTATTATTTATGCTGTCTATTGCAAGGTCCACAGGAACATTTGTGAACAACGATATCACATCCAAAGATACGATTGTTTCATTGTTATTTAATTTAAGATCAGACAAAGCGTTGCACAATTCAAAACTATTGTTAACATGACTTTTCCCTTTGGGTAAACTTGTCACTAAAATGTTGTGTAAATATGCAGCTAAATGATGTAGTGCTGTATTGACCGACGATACTATTACTCTGAATGGAACATTTTCCTTGTGAATTTTGGGCAAGCCATATGCTTTAGGAAGCAATGAATCACTGGAACTTAAACAATAATAATCTTTTTTGTGATCCATTCATTTTTTAACCATTGTTTTAAATTTTTGTTAAGGTCTTTTTCTATTTTTATTATTGGATTGTTTTTGATTGTCATATAATTATCTTTGTCATTTAATAATTCTTCAACTTTGTCTATATAAAATTCTTTGGTCATTGCTACGGTCGTGTTTCCCTTGTCTGCTCTTGTGAAAATGATGCTGGGATTTTGTTTATTTGGAATAGCTATGTTTCTTATTATCGTGAGATTAGTTATGTTATTCGAATTGCTTTAGAAAGCAATCCACAGTTCTTTGTTTTTTTAAACAACAATACTAGGAAAGACATAATTAATGACAAACTTACTTTTATGTACAAAAAAACCATGACATTTTGTAAACAAAATCCCAGCATCATTTTCACAAGAGCAGACAAGGGAAACACGACCGTAGCAATGACCAAAGAATTTTATATAGACAAAGTTGAAGAATTATTAAATGACAAAGATAATTATATGACAATCAAAAACAATCCAATAATAAAAATAGAAAAAGACCTTAACAAAAATTTAAAACAATGGTTAAAAAATGAATGGATCACAAAAAAAGATTATTATTGTTTAAGTTCCAGTGATTCATTGCTTCCTAAAGCATATGGCTTGCCCAAAATTCACAAGGAAAATGTTCCATTCAGAGTAATAGTATCGTCGGTCAATACAGCACTACATCATTTAGCTGCATATTTACACAACATTTTAGTGACAAGTTTACCCAAAGGGAAAAGTCATGTTAACAATAGTTTTGAATTGTGCAACGCTTTGTCTGATCTTAAATTAAATAACAATGAAACAATCGTATCTTTGGATGTGATATCGTTGTTCACAAATGTTCCTGTGGACCTTGCAATAGACAGCATAAATAATAGATGGCATTACATTGAAAACCACACATCAATAGACAAAAATGAGTTTGTTAATGTAATTAAATTCATTTTGACTTCAACGTACTTCACATTCAACGAAACGATCTATAAACAAATACATGGAACTCCTATGGGATCGCCTTTATCTCCAATTATTGCGGATATTGTTATGCAAGATATAGAAACTAGGATTCTTGAAACTATAAAGGTTAATATAAGGTTTTACTATCGCTACGTCGATGATATCTTGCTTTGCTTGCCGGAAGATCAAGTCACATATCTAGTAGAAAAATTTAATGATTGTCACGATAGATTAAAATTCACAATAGAAAGAGAGGATAACCGTAGCATAAGTTTTTTAGATATCTCACTCAAAATTATAAATAACATAATATACATAGATTGGTTTCAGAAAAAAACATTTTCGGGTAGAACACTCTCATATCATTCAAATCATCCTATATGCCACAAAAAAAGTGTAATATATAATTTAGTAGACCGGTCAATATTATTATCACATCCCCGTTTTCATAGTAAAAATTTAACATTAATCATAGAGATTTTATTGAGCAATAGTTATCCTCTTGATCTCATTTTCTCAGAAATCAATAATAGACTGAAGTTCCTTATTGTTAATAGATTAAACAAAGAAATGACTCAAGATATAAATAACGAAATCATAAATAATGACAATAATAAAAAATTCATAGCGATACCTTATATTGAAAGAATCTCGGAACTAGTAGCATCAGAATTAAAGAAATCAAATATAACAGTAGGATACAGATGTCTAAAGAAATTAAACAGAGTCATAAAAACGCAAAAAGACAGAGATAAGCTCCAAAATAATTCAGGGGTCATATATAGGATTTCATGTAATAATTGTGATGCTACATATGTAGGACAGACGAAAAGACAATTAGGTACAAGAGTAAATGAACATAAAAATAATATTAGATTAGATTCAGCAAGGCACTCGGTGGTTTCTGATCATATTGTAAAATTTACACACAATTTCAATTGGAACGACACAAAAATCCTAGACTATGAAAAGAATTATTATAAAAGGTTGATATCAGAAATGATATATATTAAAGAAGAAAACAACAGTATCAACCTAAAAAAGGACACCGAGCGTCTTGACGGTTCTTATTATGATATTCTAAAAAAATTGTCTACGTCATCTTAAAAATTGGGTATATATACAGCGCGCCGACATTGTAAGATACAGATATCGAATTGTTTTTTAAAAAAGTACACATTGTGACTATGTTAAGTAAAAAGAAATAATTTTTTAAAAAAGTGTTATGTTCGTTGACAAAAAAGTAAGTTAATACTATTTATTAAAAGTCTAAATGTAATATTTGAGCGGATATATTAATTTGTTCACAGTGGTTACATAATATAACAGCATCTGACGCTCTAACTCATGCCAACATACATGAATTTGTACTGCGTTCGTCATATAATCTTATAATTGTTGTATTTATTTATGATGTCGAAATGACTAAATTAATTTTTTAACATATTATTAGGATATTGAGAAAGACTGTCGTACAGTCGAAACGTTTATCTGAACTTTTGTATAGTATGAAGTAAATTAATAAATAAATTTTTCAATTAATAGCATATAAGCTCGTTAAGTTGGCCTTTTATTATATCACATATTTTAATTGTATACGAGCCGAAGTTTAATTTATAAAATATATATATTTTATGGTATACTTTATTTGCGCGGCACCCGTTACATACTTTGCGAGAGATAATTATCGTGTCAAGGACATTGAAGCCTGCTTTCAGCGAGAAAAAATCGATATTATTATCTTACGAGATAAGACGGGCCGCATCCATGCGGCGGCAGAATCGATAATTTTATCTTACGAGGCGCACGCGACATTAAGAGACACAAGACGCACGCATTTGAGAGAGAAGACGCAGCGCGCGAGAGTAAGAGAGACGCACGCATTCGAGAGAGAAGACGCAGCGCGCGAGAGTAAGAGAGACGCACGCATTTGAGAGAGAAGACGCAGCGCGCGGCGGTATACGCGCTCTTCCGTCGGAGCGAGAGAGAGGCAACGCGCAGCTCGGGATTCAGCGGCGAGAGCGATGCTGTGGCGAGAGAGTCGACGGTTCGCGGCGAGAGAGTCGGTGGCTCGCGTCGAGAGAGATTCGGCGGGAGAGGGATGCGAAGGAGAGGAGGGGAAACATTTTTTTTTAATTTAATAAAATATATATTTTATTCAATATTTTTTTTTATTCGTTATTTTTTTTCATTATTTTTTTTTATTATTTTTTTTATACATATTTTTTGTACATTTTTTTTTATCTTTTTGTACATTATTTTTTTCATTATTTTTTCATTATTTTTTAAATTATTTTTTGTACATTTTTTTTTCATTTTTTTTTCATTTTTTTTTATACATATTTCTTGTACATTTTTTTTTTTTATAATTTTTGTACATTATTTTTTGTACATATTTTTGTACATTTTTTTTTATACATATTTTTTGTTCATTTTTTTTTTATTATTTTTTATACATATTTTTTATAAGGATATCGAGGGAGGGAAACAGTTTTAAATTAATAAAATTTTTGTATATTAATAAAATATATATTTTTATTCTTAATTATTACATTACCGCCGGCATTGGCATTACCCGAGGTGTACCACGTGGAGGTTGCCGGTCGGATTTACACCTCATATGTATGTGTATGTGCGTGTGTGTGTGTGTGTGTGCGTGTGTACTTGTACATGTGTTACAGTAGAGATAAGGACCCTACGGTTCGTCACTTCCGTGGTATTTACCGACTCCAAACCCTCTCTACTGTGTGTGTAAATAAAAAATAAAAAAATAATATAAGTAAAATATAAAACAATATAAAAATAAAAAATATAAACAATATAAAAATAAAAAATATAAATATAAAATATAAAATATAAAATATAAAATATAAATATAAAATAAAATATAAAAAAATATAAAAATATAAAAATATAAAAAATATAAAAATATAAAATAATTCTTATGTACGGTGACGGCGAGAGTGAACGGAGAGAGCCGACGTGAGAGAGAGAGAGCCAGCGCATTGCATGGATCCGACGACTGTGAGAGAGAGGGTCGCATCACCCATCGCTGTCATCAGACTCGGCATCTGTGCATAGAAATATATTAAATTAAAAATATAGCCATTTTTTTGACTTATATATATACTCACGTCCTTGACAGGTGGGACATGCGTTGGCCAGGTAGAATACGTATAATCTCCCCTGGCAATCGGTGCAACGCAGTTGTGGTGCGTCAACATAACGCGATGTCGTGTGGCTCTCGATGGTCGTGATCGAGATGAATCTGCCCCTGTTTCTCATAAAACAGGGCATACAGATTCGCACTGACCCCCATAGTGCGACGTATGGCATGACATACGACGTTACAGTGCATACCCTCGTGTGTTCGTCGAGGGATGCAACTGCTCGTATGTCAAACATGTGCGAGTGGCACGACTCCCGAACAGCGTTTTCGCTATCGTACCCATCGTCGTGCAAATCTTCTTCTTCTTCTTCTTTATCATCATCATCATCATCATCATCATCATCATCATCATTATCATCATCATCATCCTCTTCTTGATCTTCATCGACGATGGGTACGATATCGACCTTCATCTCCTCAATATCGTCTAGTACGATATTCACATCCCTGTCATAGTCGGGGTCGTACATTGCCACATCGCTGTCGCTGTCGCTGTCGTCGGAGATTATTATTATCTCAATCTCGTCGTCTGAGATTGTGATCATCTCCATCTCATCGTCTGAGATCGTGATCATCTCATTGTCGCTCTCACTCTTACGCGCTGCGTTCTCCATTTTTATTGCAAAAACTATTCACTCGCTCACTACTATGCTCGCAAATGTCACCGTACTATGACCCGGCAGTGGCATCGGTCCTCATTATATACCCCGCAATAATGATTAGCCTCCAAGAAAAAGCGTTGGTAAACAAACGCATTTTTTAAGCCAGCGTGTATCAAATATAAGAGTTTAAACAAGGCTCTGTAATATAAATATAAATTTAACGTATAAGACGGGCAACAAGAGCCAAATCGCGGATGACAATGCGTTATCCTAACGAAACTAAATAATTTTTCGTTAGAATTAAAATACCGGTGCACAAGGCACCAAATTTTTATTTGGACACGGCCAAGATTCTAAATATGAAATAATCTCATATTTTGAGATTTAATTTCAATACCCCTTTAACCCCCCTACGGAAAATAAATAAATAAATGCAAGAGAAAAATATAGATCCGAAAATCGCTGAATCGGGAATCGAACCCGAGACCTTTCGCTTGCCGGGCGACTGCTCTTCCAGCTGAGCTATTCAGATCCTTTCGATTCTATACTTTTCTCTGTTATATATATTAATGTTGGTAAACAAACGCATTTTTTAAGCCAGCGTGTATCAAATATAAGAGTTTTAACAAGGCTCTGTAATATAAATATAAATTTAACGTATAAGACGGGCAACAAGAGCCAAATCGCGGATGACAATGCGTTATCCTAACGAAACTAAATAATTTTTCGTTAGAATTAAAATACCGGTGCACAAGGCACCAAATTTTTACTTGGACACGGCCAAGATTTTAAATATGAAATAATCTCATATTTTGAGATTTAATTTCAATACCCCTTTAACCCCCCTACGGAAAATAAATAAATGAATGCAAGAGAAAAATATAGATCCGAAAATCGCTGAATCGGGAATCGAACCCGAGACCTTTCGCTTGCCGGGCGACTGCTCTTCCAGCTGAGCTATTCAGATCCTTTCGATTCTATACTTTTCTCTGTTATATATATTAATGTTGGTAAACAAACGCATTTTTTAAGCCAGCGTGTATCAAATATAAGAGTTTTAACAAGGCTCTGTAATATAAATATAAATTTAACGTATAAGACGGGCAACAAGAGCCAAATCGCGGATGACAATGCGTTATCCTAACGAAACTAAATAATTTTTCGTTAGAATTAAAATACCGGTGCACAAGGCACCAAATTTTTATTTGGACACGGCCAAGATTTTAAATATGAAATAATCTCATATTTTGAGATTTAATTTCAATACCCCTTTAACCCCCCTACGGAAAATAAATAAATGAATGCAAGAGAAAAATATAGATCCGAAAATCGCTGAATCGGGAATCGAACCCGAGACCTTTCGCTTGCCGGGCGACTGCTCTTCCAGCTGAGCTATTCAGATCCTTTCGATTCTATACTTTTCTCTGTTATATATATTAATGTTGGTAAACAAACGCATTTTTTAAGCCAGCGTGTATCAAATATAAGAGTTTTAACAAGGCTCTGTAATATAAATATAAATTTAACGTATAAGACGGGCAACAAGAGCCAAATCGCGGATGACAATGCGTTATCCTAACGAAACTAAATAATTTTTCGTTAGAATTAAAATACCGGTGCACAAGGCACCAAATTTTTACTTGGACACGGCCAAGATTTTAAATATGAAATAATCTCATATTTTGAGATTTAATTTCAATACCCCTTTAACCCCCCTACGGAAAATAAATAAATGAATGCAAGAGAAAAATATAGATCCGAAAATCGCTGAATCGGGAATCGAACCCGAGACCTTTCGCTTGCCGGGCGACTGCTCTTCCAGCTGAGCTATTCAGATCCTTTCGATTCTATACTTTTCTCTGTTATATATATTAATGTTGGTAAACAAACGCATTTTTTAAGCCAGCGTGTATCAAATATAAGAGTTTTAACAAGGCTCTGTAATATAAATATAAATTTAACGTATAAGACGGGCAACAAGAGCCAAATCGCGGATGACAATGCGTTATCCTAACGAAACTAAATAATTTTTCGTTAGAATTAAATACCGGTGCACAAGGCACCAAATTTTTACTTGGACACGGCCAAGATTTTAAATATGAAATAATCTCATATTTTGAGATTTAATTTCAATACCCCTTTAACCCCCCTACGGAAAATAAATAAATGAATGCAAGAGAAAAATATAGATCCGAAAATCGCTGAATCGGGAATCGAACCCGAGACCTTTCGCTTGCCGGGCGACTGCTCTTCCAGCTGAGCTATTCAGATCCTTTCGATTCTATACTTTTCTCTGTTATATATATTAATGTTGGTAAACAAACGCATTTTTTAAGCCAGCGTGTATCAAATATAAGAGTTTAAACAAGGCTCTGTAATATAAATATAAATTTAACGTATAAGACGGGCAACAAGAGCCAAATCGCGGATGACAATGCGTTATCCTAACGAAACTAAATAATTTTTCGTTAGAATTAAATACCGGTGCACAAGGCACCAAATTTTTACTTGGACACGGCCAAGATTTTAAATATGAAATAATCTCATATTTTGAGATTTAATTTCAATACCCCTTTAACCCCCCTACGGAAAATAAATAAATGAATGCAAGAGAAAAATATAGATCCGAAAATCGCTGAATCGGGAATCGAACCCGAGACCTTTCGCTTGCCGGGCGACTGCTCTTCCAGCTGAGCTATTCAGATCCTTTCGATTCTATACTTTTCTCTGTTATATATATTAATGTTGGTAAACAAACGCATTTTTTAAGCCAGCGTGTATCAAATATAAGAGTTTTAACAAGGCTCTGTAATATAAATATAAATTTAACGTATAAGACGGGCAACAAGAGCCAAATCGCGGATGACAATGCGTTATCCTAACGAAACTAAATAATTTTTCGTTAGAATTAAATACCGGTGCACAAGGCACCAAATTTTTACTTGGACACGGCCAAGATTTTAAATATGAAATAATCTCATATTTTGAGATTTAATTTCAATACCCCTTTAACCCCCCTACGGAAAATAAATAAATGAATGCAAGAGAAAAATATAGATCCGAAAATCGCTGAATCGGGAATCGAACCCGAGACCTTTCGCTTGCCGGGCGACTGCTCTTCCAGCTGAGCTATTCAGATCCTTTCGATTCTATACTTTTCTCTGTTATATATATTAATGTTGGTAAACAAACGCATTTTTTAAGCCAGCGTGTATCAAATATAAGAGTTTTAACAAGGCTCTGTAATATAAATATAAATTTAACGTATAAGACGGGCAACAAGAGCCAAATCGCGGATGACAATGCGTTATCCTAACGAAACTAAATAATTTTTCGTTAGAATTAAATACCGGTGCACAAGGCACCAAATTTTTACTTGGACACGGCCAAGATTTTAAATATGAAATAATCTCATATTTTGAGATTTAATTTCAATACCCCTTTAACCCCCCTACGGAAAATAAATAAATGAATGCAAGAGAAAAATATAGATCCGAAAATCGCTGAATCGGGAATCGAACCCGAGACCTTTCGCTTGCCGGGCGACTGCTCTTCCAGCTGAGCTATTCAGATCCTTTCGATTCTATACTTTTCTCTGTTATATATATTAATGTTGGTAAACAAACGCATTTTTTAAGCCAGCGTGTATCAAATATAAGAGTTTTAACAAGGCTCTGTAATATAAATATAAATTTAACGTATAAGACGGGCAACAAGAGCCAAATCGCGGATGACAATGCGTTATCCTAACGAAACTAAATAATTTTTCGTTAGAATTAAATACCGGTGCACAAGGCACCAAATTTTTACTTGGACACGGCCAAGATTTTAAATATGAAATAATCTCATATTTTGAGATTTAATTTCAATACCCCTTTAACCCCCCTACGGAAAATAAATAAATGAATGCAAGAGAAAAATATAGATCCGAAAATCGCTGAATCGGGAATCGAACCCGAGACCTTTCGGTTGCCGGGCGACTGCTCTTCCAGCTGAGCTATTCAGATCCTTTCGATTCTATACTTTTCTCTGTTATATATATTAATGTTGGTAAACAAACGCATTTTTTAAGCCAGCGTGTATCAAATATAAGAGTTTTAACAAGGCTCTGTAATATAAATATAAATTTAACGTATAAGACGGGCAACAAGAGCCAAATCGCGGATGACAATGCGTTATCCTAACGAAACTAAATAATTTTTCGTTAGAATTAAAATACCGGTGCACAAGGCACCAAATTTTTACTTGGACACGGCCAAGATTTTAAATATGAAATAATCTCATATTTTGAGATTTAATTTCAATACCCCTTTAACCCCCCTACGGAAAATAAAGTTAGTTTCGTTAGGATAACGCATTGTCATCCGCGATTTGGCTCTTGTTGCCCGTCTTATACGTTAAATTTATATTTATATTACAGAGCCTTGTTAAAACTCTTATATTTGATACACGCTGGCTTAAAAAATGCGTTTGTTTACCAACATTAATATATATAACAGAGAAAAGTATAGAATCGAAAGGATCTGAATAGCTCAGCTGGAAGAGCAGTCGCCCGGCAAGCGAAAGGTCTCGGGTTCGATTCCCGATTCAGCGATTTTCGGATCTATATTTTTCTCTTGCATTCATTTATTTATTTTCCGTAGGGGGGTTAAAGGGGTATTGAAATTAAATCTCAAAATATGAGATTATTTCATATTTAAAATCTTGGCCGTGTCCAAGTTAAAATTTGGTGCCTTGTGCACCGGTATTTAATTCTAACGAAAAATTATTTAGTTTCGTTAGGATAACGCATTGTCATCCGCGATTTGGCTCTTGTTGCCCGTCTTATACGTTAAATTTATATTTATATTACAGAGCCTTGTTAAAACTCTTATATTTGATACACGCTGGCTTAAAAAATGCGTTTGTTTACCAACATTAATATATATATAACAGAGAAAAGTATAGAATCGAAAGGATCTGAATAGCTCAGCTGGAAGAGCAGTCGCCCGGCAAGCGAAAGGTCTCGGGTTCGATTCCCGATTCAGCGATTTTCGGATCTATATTTTTCTCTTGCATTCATTTATTTATTTTCCGTAGGGGTGTTAAAGGGGTATTGAAATTAAATCTCAAAATATGAGATTATTTCATATTTAAAATCTTGGCCGT